TTCCGGCGTGTTGGGAATTGGTGTGCTGGAAGAAGTCCGTGACAAGCGGCTAAGTATTGAATTTGAGCCAATATTTGTATTAGTCATGATCAATCTGCAAGTAAGTCGTAGTGAAACAGCACCAGATTGGACTGTCTGCAGCCGGTTGTGTGCTTTACGAGTATGTTGTCTAGCCCAGGGTGGAAGTTGGTTGAAAGGCAGTGGCAGGAGTATGGTTGGGCTGGTAGCTGACAAAATGAGACAAAGAAAACTTTTGCAATCGAGGATGATCGAAATCGAATCAGTCGAAGTTGTTCATACAATTATCATTACATATATCTGGATATGTAATATGTTCGGGCATAACTTCGTCATATACTCGTATAGACGGATATTCAACATTATTTTTTTGTTCGGAAGGGGTTTATTCCCAAATGGTCCAATTTAAATTTCATATAGATCTGATGATGAGTTTCGAAGACAGACAACTGAACTCTTAAAAAAATTACAGTAAATTTATTTAATCATTTTATTTATTTTAATTCTTTATGCACAAGTATGAGTTGTACAATGGCGTACTTAATGCCACAGGCATTTTCTCCCAGTCTACCTTAGGGTGGTGCTGAAATGTGTGACTACGGTGCACTAGACAATGATATGTAAAGTAAAATAAAATTATTGAGAAGTTAACAACATACACTTACATAAATACTTACCTAGTTACAATCATAAACCTTATGTAGGTTAATAATGTATTTAATAATGTTTAAAACTTTAAAGTTGTAAAGAATCTGCTAGGGTGTCTAGAATGGGTGCTATCCTGATTTCTAGAGGACGGATTGGATTAGAAACGAGGAGTGGACACAAGTGGAAGTACGAATTGGGCATAGCAGAACAGGATTGTTTAATAATCGGAGGATTCTATCGTGATTGGAAATCGTAAATCAACCGCGATTGCTGCTAGGTTTTTAGTATTGTTTGAAATTGGTTCAACTTCTTTTTACAAAGGATTTATTACACTGATTAAGAAATAGGTAATATCGAATTTTAACTAGGTATTTCCAAATCGGTATTAAGTCTTTTAACTATAATTATGAAAAGTTTTATTTTAATTGTAATATTTAAAAAAAGGTCTAATTTAAGAACCAATTTTTATGTCTATCTCAAATTTTGTGCAATATTACGTTACAGGAGTTCAGTATTTGCAAGTAAAATTATTTGAACACTTTTTAAATTAGTGATTATTATGTGATGATGATCTTTTTAACATCATTACATCCTTGTAAATGATATCAATTATATGTATCTCTCTAAGCGAATCGGCAACGTGCCGTCATTATTAATAGACAAGTTAGCTAACTGACAAAATAGAATATAGATATAGTGTGTGTTAGTTAGTTAACACACAAGTGGGAATCCATTTTAGGTTTACGTTTTCGATTAACGTTTACTTTTACATAGATGAAAACATGATTTAGAAAAATCAAGATTTATTTGTGCAAATTTGTTGTAATAGGTAGTACATATGAGTCGATAACTAAACCTAAATAATACAGGACGGGGCTAGCCGGATGCTGGGCCTGGGTCGCGGCGCCAGTACTCGCAACAATCCAAACTGGGTTATACAAGTGTGGGTTTCATTCTAACGTTCTATGGATATTAGTACTACAAAGTCATTTGATAAAAGTAATTCATTTTTATATGTATTTCAAATGTGTTGTTCTGAATTCGTTACATAGGTTTCACACTATATTACAGTATTTTTGGTACTGGCATATGTGTAATAAATACTAATTGTGAATCAACTCACTTGATAGTCCTACAAGACTGTCTCGACTCTAATGTGCAAGGGTTGTCCCAAAAACGATCGAGATTGTAGGTGATTTTCCACCCCGTCAACAAAAAAAAAGCTTGGTAAAAATGGTACCTACCCGCCTAATTTAACTATATTTTACCTATACAGCAGTATCTCGGGTTCCTTTTCCGTTTAAAATATTGGTTAAAAGGTTGAAAATTATATAAAACAGATTAAAATTTTACATTGGAGAACATTTTATTTCGTTTCGTGATTTCAATTGGTGAAAATGTTGGGAAACGATTTTAGTAAAATTGAATTTTTTTGTATGAATTCAATGTGATTGCTGCAGCCTTCCATAACCATATTAATGTAATTATTTGTAATTAAAGTATGTAGTTTTGTGTAAAATTAAACAGTAATATAAGTATTTACACAGTATCTCATAAAAAAACTTGCGAAAAATAAAATAATGTTTATAAGATGTATTTAAAAATAATAAATGAATTAATTATGAATATTTAGAATAAGCCACAATAGGGAATATGCACGTGACACCAAAATCGACAAAATATTTTTATTTGTAATTTTTATTGCTAAAAAAAGATACCCATACAATTATTTTTGAAATTTATTATAATTTAATAGTGAAATTTAATCATCAAAAATTGGCTTTTTTAAGATTCCCTCGCAAATTTCTAAAACGCAACGCTATTGGTTGAATAAAACGTGACGTCAACCTACACTGTCAATAGTGTCAACAAGTTGTGTGTATTTGTAATATTTGGTTCCTGGTGATTATTTGTTTCATTTTAAGTTAATAACTAATACGTTTACAGTGTTAAATTATTAAATTCCCGTGTAGAAAGACTCAACACAATGACTGAATATACAGTCATTACATCAGGTGCAGTTTTGATATTATTTGGGCACAAAGGAACGGCACAATATTTATAATAAGTTTTTATTGGCTTTTCCATGGTAATAAGTTAATTTTTATCACTCACTTTTTTAACTTTCACAAACTTTGTGAACTTCACGCCGTTATTGACATCGAATTCGTCTGAAAGTGTAATCTGACGTCACAAAAAAAGCACGCCAAAATGGACTTGTTCAAATTGCCCCAAAATGGTAGTGTTATATTTATTTTTGGTAATGTAATAACTAGTAGAATCGTTTAAAAAAATAAAAAAAATACATGCATATTCCCTATTGATAGTTACATAGAAAATATATAAATACACTTACTTCAAATTGAGGTGGGTAAGTAAGATTTTTCATAAAATACCTATTCATTAGTATATTTTTTATGTACAAAATTAAATAATACCTTTTTATTAAAAAATTAATCCTATGAAACCAAAACCAGTAAATATTAAATTTCTATACCTACTAACAAATATACTTTACAATGTATTTATCTCTATGTCCCTCACCTTTTTGTCACCTGCCCTATGTATTTTAGTCATATAAATAACTAATTGTCAATTACTCTCTGTGGAAAATCAAAATTTGAATGAAATGACTTTCATATGAAGTTAGCACCTAGCAGTGTACGAGCTATCCATTCAGCAGATACTACTGTATGTACACTTTGTATTAAATGTATTTAATTATTCATTTATTTCGTTGGTCTATTTAATAGTTATTTGTTTAGTTGAACATATATTATTTCGTTGTTATTTAACATGAAAGAGCACATTAAAAACATTTTGGTTGCATACAAACTATTAAGATCTTGGCCATGTTCAGTTGTGCAATAGGAAAAATATGTTTTTATAGTAAAAAAAAGTATACTGAAAAAAGAAAAATTCCAATTATTTAGAAATAACACAAATTTTATGGAAAGCTAAATTAGTCTATTTTAATCTAATATATTTTTATACAGAAATATTAATGTGTTTCTTATTTACCATAGCACAGGTCCTGCCTAATTTAGGTGTGTGATATGTTATGCGGCTAAGATTTAAACAGTGAAATCAGTTTTTCCAAGGTCTAGTGAGAGTGTTAGAGTCATAACACCTACAGCCATGACTAGGTAAGACAAACATCACCATGTAGGCACAGACTAGAGATAGTGAATAGTCATGTTAGTAAAAAACTCACAAGATTCTATGAACTCCATTTGTTGATAATCGATAAACAAAAGATCAACAGATCTCTGAAAAGAACCATTGTAATTAATTCTAAATTAACTTCATAATATCTCTTAACTCTAAGAGTCTTGAACATAATATTAAAGACTGATAAACAGTATTTAAAAACCAGTCAATTTTATAGAATACATATACATACCAATGAATTTAAATAATTATTTGCTATAGGTATTTCTGATTATTCATTTTAGGACAAACATGTAATGTAGATTTTATTAGTTAACAACTTTTGACTATAAACAAAACAAAATACTGAATGCTCAAAACCTAAATTAAATTACTTCACAAAATGTTAAAATATCCCAAGCAAAGCAATTGAATACATGAAACAATAATATGTAACAATAATATGATTAATGTATTTATAATATAATATGCATTAAATGAATTTATGATAAAAGTACATTATAAGAAGAATGTTATCTTATAAACAGGTTATAAATAATTATTTTATTTACTAAAATTTCATTTTTAAGTTCGGTTTTAGTGTGACCTTAATGGTGATCTCAATTTGAATCAGAATTTCTCCTACCTACAAATTAACTGGTTTCTGATTAAAGTCATATTGTTTAGGAATAATGTTTGCGTATCTTATTTCAATAGACAGTCAGAGATGAAACAAAGAACGGAAAATTGTTAGGTACCTATCTATTATGTACTGTTATTAAAATTTATTGTAGTTAATTATTCTATCCTTAAATATAAATATTCACAAGTGACTATGCAGTAAACAAAGACTTAAATCTAAAATTATTAACAAATTTTATGCAATTATTTCCATTTAAATGTTTCAAAGTGTAATTTATTTACTACAGCTCATAAGTAGATACTTTCTATCTTCATGAAATCTCTCGTTGAAGATGTTTCTGAATCGAAATTTAACAATAATGCCTAAAACTGTGGTGCATAAAAATCTTAACGATTAAAATTTTATCATAACAATAATACTCAGTAAGATAATTTGATGGCATGAGCTTTGAATTCTATAATATAAATAGAACTACAGAGCTAGTTGTACCAAAATTACAACAAATAGTAAAATGAAAAGCTTATTGTTACGCATTACTTACCTTGTCCGCATTTCTCAGTCTTTGGAGTAGAAGTCATTTTATCGGAACTAAAACCACTATGACATATTATCACGAGTAACAAAATATCAGTTCAATTTAATTTACAAATTAGAGTAGAAATCACAAAATTATCATTACACTCCACCGGCAGCCATGTTTAGAAAACAATTTATAAATTGTAGCAGTCAATGCCATCTATTGCAAACTTACTGTAAGTACTAAAACATAGTCTTAAAATTAGAAACTAGATGGCATTTTTCAAGAATTTGATTTACGAGTTGACACTATGTTTAAAAATTTAAGATAACTATTTTTTTTAAATAGATCTATTCATAGAAAGCCTAAAATAATCACTGAAATATTATTTTTTTCTCTTGAGTAAAAATTGGGATTATCTTATCCGTGAGTCACGAATCAGAAAATGTGTCGTAATCATTCCATTAACCAATCAGCTGTCTTGCTTGTCTTGTCTTTCGTTTATATTCGGATTTATGTTCTTCTGAAACTGAATCTGAATTCATACAGAAGAACATGAATGTGGACGTCTTTCGCCTGAGATGATGATGATGAATACAGATTTTTTCATTCAACATTTTAACTTTGAAATTAATCGTATTCTATAGTCCAAATAATTTACGGACGCATTTTGACGGTTGAAATTTAAGGTTGGGGTTTCTACAAAGCCATTGTGGGAATAATCGATTCGGATTACAAATAATTTGGCGATCATCAAAAGATACGAAACATCGTTAATCGTTTTAAAATTGTAATACTTGTGCCTTTTCAGTCTCTTTTTTTTAATTAAGAATTATGTTCCACATACATTTTGGATACCACAAATATAGCTAAGAATATAATAGAATATAAAGATATATATAAGATATTATGAAAATCTGAAACTAATATTATAAATATTTTTTACTTTCTGAACTGTTTCTTCTTCTGTTCTTCTTCTCTGTTTCTGAAATGGTGGGACGGTGTTATGGCTTGCAGCGTATCCTAAAAGGATTATTGTAAGTTAACAATATTAACAAGACAGAATAAGAATAACAAAATAAACATTACAATTAGCTAAATCTTCCATAATTATGTTGAATATTTTTGTTATTTTAAAGGAGGTCGTCAAAGTTTTTAATACTTTATACTATGTTTATGCATTAGAATAAAGAACATGTAAGAATAGGAACTAACCCTTGACTTGAGCCCAAATCAGGCATTATGACAGTGCTATGCTGGTACCCTTATCACTTTGTGCCCATACTGCCGTGCTAATTCGTCGATGCCGTACCTCGGTATCCTTGGTTTGTGTTCTTCTACCAATCTCACTAGTTAATCTTTAAAAGAGTCATGTCTGCTTGAACTGCGTTCCTCTGTAGCTATGCCACATGCTCGGCTTTCGTTTTTTTTCGTCTTTGCTGGTGGCTTATCGATCTGTCCCTTGACCATGATAATAACATAACGGTCAGGTACGTTTTGCAAAAGATTTGCGATTCACTTTTTAAATTGATCTGAGTTCATCTTTTGTACTCTTTGACTCGAACGCCAATAAACAATTTTCAACAAAACCTCCTGCATATCCAGCATGACAAATAATTAATTGGCCACCTTTCCCAATAGGCACTTTTGTACTAGAAGACTGAGTTTCGTTCGTCCAAGACTTCGACACGGTATGATTTGTATTTAACCACGTTTCATCCAAAAATATGACTTTGGTCCAATCAGTTATACTGTTCATTTTTCGTAGATATGTCACTCTTTGTAGTTTCAGATCGAATCTGTCTTAGGTATCACAAACTCATAGATGTTTTAGTTTTAAAGTAATTTAATCCTTAAATTAACTAATTCCCATAAATAAACAAGAATTTATTTGTTCACTTCGGTTTAATTATACGAAAAGCATAAAATTAAAGTGAAAAGAACAAATTCATAAATAATAATTAACTATTTAATTATATGAAAACCAACTCTGGTTAGCAAGTCCTTTGATAATATACTATTTGTAAAGCAATCGATTAAAATGTAACAACACTAAAATAAAAAAACAAAACAGAATGTAACTGTTTTAGGACATCTATCAAAAGTAAAGAATCTCACGATTGTTTAAGTTATTTGTTGACATTTAAACTTAAGAATGTCCATTACATTCATTCAACTCAGTAGTATAAATGTTTTCTTAAATAAAAATTGTTTTACTTAAAATGGAGTTATTTTATGTTTCGTTCAAATCGTACGTTGCCTTCTTTAGTCTGTAAGTAAAGAACGCAACTACGTCAGTTTTAGCTGTCAAAATGCACTTCGTGGATTGTTTAGACTATAAAAAGACATAAAAGTGACGTCAATGACCGGTTGTGGTGATGCTAAAAATGTCTCATTGAGCTGACAAGATAGATGCATATCATTTCGCTGTAAAGATACAAATCACTCATCTGAATCTTGAAAAATTACTAGAAAACTTATCTAAACTTATCTCCCTCTTATAGCCACACATTAATAATGGGCGATTTCAATACCTGCTTGATGAAAAATGACCATCGCTCTTCTTCACTACGCAGAATTGTGGACTGTAATAACTTATCACTCTTAACACTTGATGCTACACATCACTTCCCTAACTGCACTCCCTCTCTTCTTGATCTTATCCTAGTCTCTTCTACTGATCATGTCATCAGCCATGGTCAGTATTCCGCTGATGCTTTTTCCTATCATGACGTGATATTTCTCTCTTATGCTATCCGACCACCCAAGGCAAAGCCGAGAATTCTTGTGCAGCGTAATTTTGGCGCGATGAATCTTGAAAGACTTAAGGAAGATGCGCGAAACATCAACTGGAACAATTTGTTAAATTCGCAGTGTGTTAATGATAAAGTCCAAATATTCACAGATAACTTGATACAGCTCTATAACGTCCACGCACCCTTGCGATCAATAAAGCTTAAACATTTACCGGCTCCATGGCTTACTGAGGAGATACGCAGCATTATGTCCAGGAAATGTATTGCGAAAAGCAAATACAAGCGTCGACCAACCGAAGCGAACCTGGAAAAATATGTGTACCTGAGAAATCTCTGCAATAAGATGTGTAGAAACGCACAACGCCAACATATCCACTCTTCCGTAGAAAACGGAGATCCAGCAAAAGTCTGGAAATTTCTAAGAACATTGGGAGTCGGGAGGTCTCGCCAAGAGCCTATTCCCAAAAATGTCAACATTGACTTACTCAATAAACATTTCTCTGCCTCGTCTGACATTAGTGACAGTACAAAAGCTAATACTCTTAGATATATTTCTACTACCCCAACTCCCAACTATCCACCTCTCGTCTTTGATCAGTTGTCCGCTTGTGATGTTAGGAAGACCATTCTGGCGATCTCATCCAACGCAGTGGGAAGTGACTGCATCAGCCGAAATATGATTATACCTATCCTTGACGAAATTCTACTTATCCTATGCAATATCCTTAATCACTCCGTCACAAGCGGTGTTTTTCCATCTGCATGGAAAGATGCCAAAGTAATCCCTCTTCCAAAAAAAACTAAACCCTCTTCATTTTCTGACTATCGGCCCATATCTATTTTACCTTTCCTATCCAAAGTACTTGAACGCCTCATCCACTCTCAACTGACTAACTTCCTCTCCAAAAATTCTCTACTGAACCCCTTCCAATCCGGATTTCGCCCTGGCCATAGCACTACTTCTGCGCTGGTACACATTACAGACAGCATCAGACTAGGCATGGATAGTGGAAAGATCACAGTTCCCACCTTACTTGATTTTAGCAATGCCTTCAATACTGTGGATTTTCACATTCTACTTGGCATACTACGGTCTCTTAACATATCTCCAAGGACAATTGATTGGTTTCAAAGTTACCTGTCTGGTCGCCGGCAACGGATTTGCATTGATGACTCCATGTCCTCTTGGTGCAGTATTTCTGCTGGTGTACCGCAGGGTGGCGTTCTATCTCCTTTACTCTTCGCTGTTTTTATAAACTCAATCTCTAATCAACTAAGTTCCTTCTACCACCTTTATGCAGATGATTTGCAAATATATACACAAGCTCCGATTAACATGTTATCGGATGCATTCAACATAATTAACGCTGACCTTCAACGCATTGGCGAGTGGAGTTATAACTATGGACTTATGATTAATCCTAAGAAGACACAGGTGTGTGTTATCGGCAGCCCCAGGCTGATCTCAAAAGTTAACTGGACTCTACTGCCCCAAATTCAGTTCGGTGGCACAACTCTTGAGATAAGCACTACTGTAAAAAATTTAGGGATCTACATAGACAACACTTTGTCATGGGGTCCACAGATGCAAGAGGTCAGTCGTAGGATATTTGCTTCAGCCGGTTCTCTTCGAAGACTACGCAAATTCCTTCCAACTGCAACTAGGGTTGCGCTTGCACAAGCACTTCTTCTCCCAATTCTCGACTATGCCGATGTCAGCTATCTGAATCTCACTGAAGCACAACTCGATAAGCTTGAGCGACTACAAAATATGTGTATACGATTCGTATTTGGTTTACGAAAATACGATCACGTCTCTGAATTCCGTCAAATGCTCAAGTGGCTTCCAATTCGCTCTCGCCGGAATACTCATATCCTTATTTTCCTTTACAACATTTTGTTTAATCCCAAAACCCCTTTCTACCTCAAAGAACGATTCAAGTTCCTTAATGACACACACGAAAAATGTCTGCGGTCATCCGTAAGTTTACAACTGGAGATGCCTCTGCATTCCACCAAATTTTATGACCAATCCTTCACTGTTGAAGCTGTGCGCTTGTGGAATGCACTGCCGCTTAACATCAGGCAGGCGCAAACATTAAATAGATTCAAGAAAATGGTGCAGGAATTTTATTCACCTTAAGAGTCCATCACGCTTGAGGGTGTAACGAAACTGTTTCTCTTTTCTATATGTTTATTCATTTAAGAATGCGTATATATATATGTATGTGTATATGTATATCTGCTGGTATAGTATGTGGGTACTTATATATATGTAGGTTTATTTATTGTGATATGCATTGTA